GGGAGCTATCACGTGGGGGGGGCGCCTCAGGGTTGGGGGGGGGAGCTGCCGTGGGGAGGGCACCTCAGGGCGGGTGGGGGTGGGGTGCAAGGTGGAAGTTTCGCCTAGGGCACGAAACTTCCTTGCACCGGCCCTGGGTGAGAGTGACAATCACCCCTTCCCATCAGATGCTGGGAAACTAGTAAGACATGCTCATGATTATATGTAATTCATTATCCCCTAAGTAACCTTGTCATCTTATTATAAACCTCATCCTTCCTTTTTCTGCCCTTATGGATCGTTGCTCTCTCGTGTTGCTTCGTGTTTAGAATTAAATTATATGCTATTTGGGGCGAGGACCATATTTTCATTTGTTCTGGTTGGACCACAGAAAACTTCAGATACTGTACAAATAATAATAATTTAATTTTTATATAATCTAAACCGCTGATTATCAAGATATGGTTGTGTTGTAATATATTTTTTAAAATAAACTTGTTAGAGAATGTGTGTGTACAAATCAGCTTACTGAACTATTGAAACATAGTGCTAGAAGTAAATAGATATTGTGCCTTGTCAGAACTAAGAAATGTCCTGACTTTGTTTTCCTAAGGAATAATACAAGGAACATAATAGACAGGATGTGAGTCTACTGCCTTTATTGCTAGTTTACATATTCAGAATATTGATTTGTGACCTTATGTTTTATTGACATTTCTTTTGTCAAAATAGAATAAATATTAGCTTGCTTCCATAACTGCCCCAAAATTTATTTTTTGAACTGGATGGCCTGAGAATTTTTTTATGTAACACTTTGTTCTTTTTTCAAAATTGTGAGTGTATATAATATTTGTTCATATATAGGGACACATAAACTTTAATAATAAACAAGAATATTGATTTATTAGAATATACACGGATTACTCTCTGATTGTAGTTAGTTTACTGCATCCATACTCCGTGCCTAACTCCCTTCAAGAGTTGGGATTTTCTATCTATCTATCTAATCATCAGTAAACTGCTCCTTGAAGATTTACATTCTGGGCTGTGTTTTCAAAATTGGCTTCTTATTTTGCACACACAGATATTTGTGCATGCAGTTATCATAATTACCTACTCAGATTGGGTCATTGGGCATCTGAGTAGCCCGTCTGAAAAACTCAGATACCAGTGTTCATATTTAAATATAGTAATTGTGCATGAGAGCAGCCATGCAAGCAAAACATCTAACTCAAGCAACTTAAAAAAATTATTCAACTGGTTGCAGCATCTGCTTAAGTAACAACAGAGGAAGCACTAAGTGTGATTCGTAGCAATTACAAAACTGAGGGCAGTTGAGGGTTAAGACTCCATACACATTACAACTAATAGCTACAGTCTGCTCTAATCAACCCAGGCAGGGATACCTTGTCTGAAATATTTACCAAGATACTGCAGCTGAATTAATGAGAACTTTTATGCATTTTTAATTTTCAATAGATTACTTTTAATTTACCTTATTTACAATAGTTATTTCCCTCTTTTAGGAAGGAACAACCAAAATTGGAAGATGTGATTCAGACCAGGAGCAGGATATTGGTAAGAGACTGAGATTACAGAGGATTTTACAGTGTGTTCTGTCAACCCAGGTGCTTTTGCTTGTCTAGCATAACAGTCTAATAGGCATTTTTTCTTTACCAGCAGTCTCCATGTGAGAAGTTGAGAAGAGAATAACTGCTTGTAGGTTTGCTATATAATGAAGTGTTAGTTAATTTTTGCTGCTATTTATTGGGTCAAGGAACACCGTATAATTGAGTATCTACTTAAGTTTTCCCCTAGTAGGGTAAATTTACATTAGGGATTGAAAATTATTGTGGTTCAAAGCCCAGAACTTGCTCTATTCATTCCGGTTTCAATTCTCTTCCCCTCCCCCCCCAAACCC